GGTCCGGTACGGGGGCAACACTGAGGGTTGCAATCCGTTGCTGGACACGGAAAAAAGACAAGAGACAAAAATAAATAAATAAAAAAAAATAAAAAAAATAAAAATCATGTCTATAAAAGCAAGCTTTGGCAAATGATATTCTCTTCCTCCCTCAAAGCAAACCCATTTTTTTGTAATAAGACTCTAGATTTGGGAAATGGCCTTTTATAATACAAATATGTCATTTTATTTTTATCTCATCACCAATGAAAACCAGTTTTAAAAATGCCTGCTCATTTCTGACACAGAGAGTCGATTAAAATATGGAGACCCTGCCCATGCCAAGACAGTGGTAGTAATTAAAAGACAGACATACAGAAATTGCTGTGCTGGTGCATGGCTCTTCCTCAGAAAGAGGTTCTTCCTTAATGTGTTTCTTTTTATCTTTTTTCTTCTTTTTCTTCACAGATGTAGTCTCCTCTTCTTCTACCACTAGTACTTTATCTTCTTCCTCCTCCTCCTCCTCCTCCTCCTCTTCCTCCTCTTCAACTGAATAGGGTAAGACAAAAATTAACATTGTATCAGATCTCACTCTCCCAACTCTCTTGAGTCCTAGTTTGTTTTTTTTTCCCCCCTCTGTCATCTGGTCAATTATCCAATGATTATCATGTTTATATTAAAATTGAAAAGTCCTTCAAGGCCCACCTTGTCCAATACCACTGCCTTTACAAATGATATGGATAAAGCCCAGAGAGAAGTAATTTTCTTATGATCATGCAATTATGTACGGAAATCACAATTAAAACAAAAGTCATCTAAACTCCCAAAATTTTGGGGAAGAGTCAATTACACTAGAAATGGTTAGGCATATGTGCACTAGAGTCAGAAAACCTGGATTTATTCTACCTGCTGTGACCCTGATAATTTATTTAACCTCTACAGAACAAACAAAAGTCATCTAAACTCCCAAAATTTTGGGGAAGAGTCAATTACACTAGAAATGGTTAAGCATATGTGCACTAGAGTCAGAAAACCTGGATTTATTCTACCTGCTGTGACCCTGATAATTTATTTAACCTCTACAGAACTCCATATCCTCATCTATAAAATTTAAGAATGTCTATATCTCGGATTGTTATTTAAGAATATCTCATGGGATTGTTACTGAGATTTAGAGATAATGTGTGTAAAATACTAAGCATAATGCTTGGCACATTAAAATGAGGACTCAGCTATCATTAGAAATTCATTCACCAAATACTTATTTATTTTGGTAAAATATATGCCAGGCCCTATTCTAAACAACTGAAGATAGCAGGGCACAAAAAAGACAAAAATCCCTGTCCTTATGAATCTTGTTTATTTTAGAGGGAGAGTATAGAGACATAAAACAAGTTATATACTAGATAACAGACAGTAATCAGTAATAAGGATAAAAATAAGGCAGGAAGGGGAATGTTGGAGAAAGGCAGTATACATGGACATGTTAGTAAGAATGGTCAAGCAAACACCTAAAACAGGTGAAGAAGTGAATGACGCACATATCTGGAAGGAAATATCCCAGATAAGAAAGCAAAAGCTAAGATCCAAAGGTTTTTTGTGGCAGGAGGAGGGGAAACTGGCCGGTAGGTTCAAGGACTAGGGAGGAGGCCAATGTGGCTGCAGCAGAGCAGACAAGAAATGAAAATTTAGCAGAGATCTGAGAGCTAATGGGGATGCCACTGTTGCTACTGCACACTTTCAAAGCAGAACTGAAAGTACTTGCTGCCAGAATCGACTTGGGATGTGAGAAAAAGAGTTAAGGTTGATGGCCAAAGCAACTGGAATTGCCATTTATGAAAAGGGGAGAATTGTAGGACAACAGATTGAGAGGGACAAGGACCCAGGCCGGTTAAATTTGAATAGCTTAGTGGATATACAATTGATACAAATCTGGATTTCAGTTTTTTAGATGCTACTAATGGGTTTAAGTTATTTAATTTCTATGCTTCTATTTCTTCACTGAGAAGTCTTTACTTCTTAGCAACCAATTTAGAAACCACATACCTTTTTTCTTTTATTATCAAAACTGTTCATGTGGTAGAAACTTGTTTTAATACACTTAGTAAAATATTTAATTCCACATATTCAAAGATATGCTTTTCACATTCCTCTGTAAAGTCTGATAAATTTAACAATATCCTAACTATTCCCAGAGAACATAATAACATATGAAAACATTTGCTTTTCAATATGGTTTCATTAGTTTTACAATAAAATTCAATGTCATGGACTTCTCTAAGACTTACGAAGTCTGTACTTCTTAAAGAATAAGAGTATAAACAGTATTTAAAAATTCAAACTAACCTTTAATTTTAATCTTGGCTTTTTTTGCTTTCTTTTCAGTAATTTCATCCTCTTTATCTACCTGTTCTATTTTGCGTTTTTTTGAACAGGTTGGAAGTGTGGAGTCACCAGAAGGATCATAAGTCTTCACTTCACTGAAACAGCAAAGGAGTTTTAGGAAATCTCTACAAATATCTGTAATTGAATAATTCTCAAGAGAAGAAAATGCCATTAGATAATACTTACGTAAGCATACAACGTTTCATTTTAGCAGCTTTGGAATAGTTTATGAAGACTAATAGTTTCCAAAAGGTAAAGATACTAATATTCATCAAGTAGGTCAATCACATTCAAGAGAGGTGGTGACCTAAATGAATTCTGGTTTAGTAATCAATGTAATTTCTATGGTACAGGAAAACTTACTCAATCAGCATAGGGGGAAAATAGAGAAAATCTTCTAACAAGTGACTAACTAGAAAGTAAAAAGTGAACCAACTTTTAGAACACTGGGTAATTAAATGAAAAAACAGAACAAAAATTCCAAACCAACTTTAATACAGAAGTCTTCATACACAATTCCAAGAGGCAGAAGAACAACAGGGGATATACATAGATAAAGATTCCCCAACATTTGCTTTTGTTCCAATGTAACAGGAAAAAAATACTTAAACACCAAGTATCTCAAATGTGAACTAATTCTTACGATTGCTGCTTTAAGTTCAAGCATTTAAAGCAGTAAGCATAATGGCACAAGAACATAAAAAAAATTGTTCAAAACAAGCTGAGGAATATTTTGTTTCTTAAGTAGACCTGTAGATACCTGGCTGTTTAACTTTTTTTTGGCAGCAGGCTGGTACAGGGATCCAAACCTGTAACCTTGGTGTTACCAGCACCACCCTCTTCTAAGTGGCCAGCTCTAACTTTTATAGGTTAAAAACATTTATCATTTAAAAAACAGAGATCTATACTTGTCAACTAAAGACAACAAATTACTTTAGAAATTGCAGAATATGTGGGCATTGTAGAAAACCTGGAAAATTCACAAAAGGTAAAAGAAAATACTAATGCCTATAACAAATCCATTTGGTTTCTTTCCAGAATATAGGAAAACAATCTTTTCTAAATGCGTACATTAAATTTAATTGATGTTACTATATATTGCTCTCCCCACCCACTTACAGCATAATTTTACTATTAAAACTCTTAAAGGATTATAAGAGTCCTAAATGTAAAGTCATTTGGTTGTGACTAGGAACATTTTAAAGGATCTTGATACAAACTGTCGAATTCCCAGAAATGCTGCCACAGTCTATTTTCCATCATCATAACCTCACCAGTATTGAGCATTATTTCAAATAATAACCAAAACACCTCTACATGCACAAATCTTTTGCTAATTTGACAGTGAGGTCTCTACTTTTTTCATGCCTATAAGCCATTTTTAGACTTGTGTTCAGTCTTTAGACTTTTTTTTATAGGTTTCACGGTGGATTCACACAAACTTTCTTTTTGATAAACAGCATACTGTAGAGGAACTTTAAATGAAATATATTTACTATAAATATATGGCAAGGAGTAAGTTAAACAAGTATATGATTAAGAACCAGAAATAAATATGGAAAACTTAATGACAAGGAAAAAAATTAGGGGTGTACAACATGGTGACTATAGTTAATAACAACTCTTAAAAATTGCTAAGAGTAGATTTTAAGTGTTCTCACCACACACACACACACACACACACACACAAAAGATAAGTATGTAGGATAACCCATGTGTTGTTAATTAGCTTGATTTAATCATTCTACCATGTATACATTTATAAAAACATTAAAAGTACTGAATTTGTCCAAGCCTCAGTTTCATCATCTGTAATACTGACACCTACATCTCACAGGGCTATTAAAAGATTCAGTGAAGTTCTGTCAAAGTGTTTAGCACAATGGATATGCTATTATTTCTCATAATTCATAAATGTTGTTAGATCAGTTTTCCTGCCACACAGAGCACTTCTGGTGTGCCACCCATAGGTGGATCCTAGAATAATACCAACACAGTGAAAGACAATAGATTTAATAGGACCAATAACAATTTCTTCTAAACTTTTCTTTCAGTGTACAAAAGTACTTTTTATTTAAAGAATTCACCATTCTCTAATGAGAAAGACAGTAGAAAGACTTGATAAACACCATAGAGTAGGAGAAAAATAGATTATATGTATAAAAGGAAGCCCAATCTCGGGAAAACCAAAACTCACCTTTCCTTTGTGTTTGGGACTTGTCTGGCCTACAAGTGAAGCATGATAAATGAGACCATACTTAGGGGTATCCCGTCTAGACTTGAGGGCTCTGAAAAGTGCCTTTTCTGCTCCAAGAATCTGAACTGTAGAAGCTGCATGCTTGGCCAAATTCAAAAGAGAACCTACAAAAGAAAAAAAGTAGTTACAAAGACTCCACTTTCAAGTATTTGAAGGTTCCATGTAATAAACACAAAATCTATAATATATAATTATAGCCACTGTTATAAATAAAAATCTCATATAATACAGGATTCTACAGTCCAAAATTTCCTAAAAATCAGGATGCTTCATTTGTGATTCTTTCATCAGCATAAGCAGAGGTTTGTGCTGTATGTCTATGACAAACTGAAGGCTAAGGTTTTTAGTTCATTATACTTGTTTGCCTGAGAGATGGTACTCTTCTATATTCCATTAACATACCACAGAAGTGATAAAACACATGAACATATGCATTCACACACACACACACACCGATCTAGCCTCCATTTTCTGAGATTTTAAACATCAAATATCCTATTGCTGTAGATAGTCCATTAACATACCACAGAAGTGATAAAACACATGAACATATGCATTCACACACACACACACCGATCTAGCCTCCATTTTCTGAGATTTTAAACATCAAATATCCTATTGCTGTAGATATGAAAAAACATACAAATAAACAGAAATTAGGACACCTTAGTAGTATTAACTACATGATAAATTATTCACATCTTATTCACCCCTGTTGTTTCAGGTAAGAGATACACCTAGAAGTATATTAACCAGTTACTAAGATGCTGCTTTGCTGAATTCGTTGCACAGAATATTTTCTGTCCGAAAACACAACCAACATTAATGCTATAACTCAATCACTGCAGACATGTTTAAAAGTACAACGAATGCATAATTCTGTTAATCCCTGTATCTCTGTTACAAACTTAGCTATACCTACAAAACTGTGAGTGAAGACAATGAAACCAGCCCCCGAAGATTCTGACCTTGTAGTCGAGAATACTTGAATGGACTGTTTGTCTCATTAATCATGCAGCTAAAGGAGTTATTCTAGTGTAAACACATTTGTGCAGACAATACCTAAGATCTCCTGTGATGGATTGTAACAATGTCTCCAGTAATATAAAAATAATGAATTGGTACTTCACTGTATTTGCAGGTACTCAATTACAGTATTTTTATTGTAGCACACCATCCTTACAATATCACCATATACATGTATTAAGTTTTATTACAGATTAGGTATTTGACATATTTTTGAAAGTGAAATATATTAAATATATTAAAATAGCATATTCAATAGTGATACTGAGATAATCAAGGGTATATATTACCTGTTGTGATTTCTCAAAACTGTACTCAAACCTTGGTCTGATGAGACATTTTAATAGAAAACACTGAACTGATTTTATCCTTCTGCATTCATCAGATTATTCTAATTAACCATAACAAACTTCTGACAATGGACCACAAGTGTCTCAGAAGAGGTAGTGACTAAAGTTGCCTTCATTATCCAAAAGGAAATCAGGCAAACAAATAAAAATCATCATTGAACACTTAGGCCTTAGTTCTCACCCATATACTATTTATCTTTTTTTACTAGCTAAAATTTCTTTAATAACTGTGGTTTAAAAAATTTTAAAAACCCTAGCCAGAAAAAGGTAAACAACTCAACTTTAAATACTCATGTTTACAAATTACATCAAAACTGTCACCTGCATGAGCAATAAGCCGTGCTCCAACTAATTCCCCAACCATGACTGTAACGTTGGGTGCAATGGCCATCATTCGATTTTGTAGATATTCATAGAGCTGGGTTCTGTATTCAGAGATTTCAATCACCTAATATAAGGGATAAAATGCACAAGTCACAAATCCCTGGGTAAATTAACTACTCCTAACATCAGTTTTCTATAACGTGTTTGTTGCACAAATTTTATTAGATAATGTATGTAAATCACTTACTATACTGCCTAAAAATGTTAGCCAGTATTATTGTATTTTTCAAAAATTCCTATGGCTAGATATTTGTGTCACTCTCTGTGATTCTTGTATAACTACCTTCAAATCTCAAGGAAAAAAATCACTACAGGCTAGAAACATAAAACTCAGAATGAAATAACTCAAACACGCTTCTCTGCCCTCTTAATGGATTTTTGATTAATTCATTATTCAAACAATGATAAGAATACAAATTCCTTTTAGTATATATTTCCCCCCTCTAAGTTTACAAATTGAGATGGCATCAGACGAGGTAGTGACTGAACACCTTCATATTTATGTTATCAGGTGAATGATAAGTGTAAAAATCATCACTGCCATCAGAAAATTAATAATAGCTGGTAACACCACAACTAGATCCTCTGTGGGTATAATTTACCTGGGTGCAAAGATGCAGAATGTTGCAAATATCTTCTTCTGAAACCTCTGTTCCCATAGATATCTCCGCAGCTGCTTTCACTTCTGCTTCAACTTCTTCTGGCAGTAATTCAGAAAGTTTGGCAGAGGCATAGTTCTTCCTATCGCCTATGGAATGTTTGCAGAGGATGAGGGAGAATCACTCTTCAATAAATTATATAAAATCCACCAAACAGTCAAAAGAAAAAGTAGAGATAAGCCAATTAAAAGGATGCCTAAACAAAACAAAAAGTGAACAAGTTTGCCCTAACAGTTTTCTTAGGTAAAGGCTTGATTTTGGAGAGAAAATTTCTCCTTACCACCTCCCTCCTCAAAAGATCAAGGTAAAAATAAAATAAAATATCCCATGAAAACTTATTTCAGAAAAGATGGCAAAAATTAAGGAGAGGACTAATGATTTTTTACTGAAACCAGGGCCAGTAATTCTTGCGGTGGTAATATTATGGTGATGTAATCAGCCAAGCAATCCATATTTATTCCTTTATTAATAGTATTACTACACTCTTTAGTATAGACAGCAATATTACTATTAATATTAGGTATTATTGAACCATGTTCTCTGTTGTACAGGCTCTCAAAATCAGTAAAAATTCATTTTGTTTCTGAACTCTAACACACATTAAATGGCTATACTTTCCAAATACATATAAACTGTAAAACAAAACCCCTGGGAATCTTGTTAAAAAAATTACTATAACCTATGTCTTGGGATGCAACCAAATTCAGTTATTTTCAATGCCTTAAAGGTTAAATAGATTACTCACCAACTTTCTGTAAACACTTGCAGTATGTCAAATTATCTGAAATAATTTTTCCTAATTCAGGGAAATGCCAGCCATACCATTCTCTACATCGCATAATATAGTTGTTTAGTTCTTTATCCAAGTCATCTAACAAGGCTACAGTAGATTAAAATGAAAATATAACAGGTTACTGTGGTAAAATATACACAACATAAAATCTACTACTTTAACCATTTTCAAGTAGATAAAAACTCTGTACCCATTAAACAATAACTCCCTATTCCTACTTTCCCCCAAACCCCTGGTAATCTCTACACTATTTTCTGTCTCTGAATTTGCCTATTGTAGGTACCTCAATAAATGGAATCATGCAATATTTGTCCTTTTGTGTGTGGCTTACCTCAGTTAGCATGTTTTCAAGATTTATACATGTTGTAATATTTATACATGACGTTTTACTTATTCATTCATCTGTTAATGGATATTTGGGGTGTTTCTTCCCTTTGGCTGTTGTAAATAATGATGCTATAAACATGGGTGTACAAGGGACTCTGAGTCCCTGCTTTCAATTCTTTTGGATATACACTGAGGAACAGAATTCCTGGTTAAAAGAATTTCTAAAATTGGAAAATGCAAGACTTTGATGATTCTAAAAATCATTTAATGACATTGAAGAATAACATATTATAAAGCCAAGTGAAAAAAGCAGAATACACAACTATATAGATCCCACTTACAGTTTTAACATATTTCAAGGAAAAAAGATGATTCTGTGACGTGATATTTATATACTGGTTTTTGTCCATGATTCCTGGCTCATGTTACTCTTTGATCTTATCCTGTCCTCCTTTCACTTTTTTTTTTTTTTGGAGGCAGGAAATTCTCTGACCTACCTTAACCGATGATAGGTCATAAGACCCCATTTCAAGAGGGACCTGCCTGGAAGAACCAAAACAAACCGGCCTTGCTGGGTTTCCCCACCCAGTTCGTTAAGTGTTAGATCATACCCTTTTATCCAATCACATTTCTACATGGTTGTCCATACCTCAATCATGCCTATGCTTCCCTAAAAAGACCCCATTTCAAGAGGGACCTGCCTGGAAGAACCAAAACAAACCGGCCTTGCTGGGTTTTCCCACCCAGTTTGTTAAGTGTTAGATCATACCCTTTTATCCAATCACATTTCTACATGGTTGTCCATACCTCAATCATGCCTATGCTTCCCTAACCCAAGGGCACAGAATTCAGGGACAACTTCTGGAAAGCTGAACATATGGAGGTTTCTGGAGGGTGGTGTGCCCAGGGACAGCATGAAAAATCCACTTCTTCCATACCTTGCCCTACATACATGTCTCTTCACCTGTATCCTTTGTAACATACTTTATAATAAATGGGTAAACATAACTAAGTCTTTCCCTGAGTTCTGTGAGCTGCTCAGCAAATTAATCGAACCCAAGGATGGAGTTATGGGAACCCTGATTTATAGCTCGATGGTCAGAAATTCCATAGTTCTGGACTTCTGACTTGCACCTGAAGTGGGG